GCAGAGTGAAGCTCCTGTGCACCGTGAAGAGAGAGAGCGTGCCCTCGCCCATCTTCTGGCTAATCCTTGGTGTAGCATGACTTGCGGAACATTCCAAGCAGTACTCGTAAAAATTAAGGGCACGAAGAGCTTTTCGCGAAATCGGTGTAATATCCATAACAAGTAGCGAGACAACGAGCTGGACGGTTGGCTGAAATTGCAAAGGTGGATGCTACGTCAACAAACATGTTGCGGAATTTTCGAGTTCTCAAAAAATTAGCATTAAATGTAATTTGTTGCAAGATTTATGGACCAGCTTAATACATTGTTTTCTTATGTGCTATGTTTCGCCGAAATAGTGAGGGACCTGACCAGAGAGCTGCAGATATCAGGCTGCATAAAGCATATGTACTTCGCACAGTCTCTCGCAGAGTCTGAGGTTTACCTACCGAAGACGACTTACCCCCACGTTCCATCCATTGCTAGTGTGACGCTACCTTGTCCTACTACGGGAAGCCTACAATCCTATCCCTGACTCGAAATGAACTTTTCATTCCACATTACACAACCCTTCCCCTCCCCAGATATGAAGGAGAATACGATTCTTCTGTAGAGGAGTGCTCAGGCTACCCTGATGGTGAGACCCTAGCAAATGAATAAGCTCCTTATGAAATTTTGCTAGAACTCGTCTTCAAAACCGTGTGAAGTAAATGTACCCTAGAGTTGTTAACATTTTTTCCGGATACATTTCTCGTATCAACTTTTTCTAGATAACCAATTCGCTTCAGACAATGATATGTTACGCCTGTGAGCCTCTTTAAAGGACGAATTCACGATGAAAAAGCAACCCATTTCAAATTAACCTAGGGATGGTGAGTGGTACACGAAAGAAGGAAGAACCATGAGAAACGGCCCAGAACCCGAGAAATGGGACCCCTTCCTTGCCCGTTGATTCGAGCATTGATGCGACTCTCATCGCTGTGCCCTCTTCAACACTACGCTCTCTCAGCTATCTAATCACTCGCCACGTATTGAACTACGGCGAGTGATCAGATGATCGGTGGGCGGAGATCGCCGGACCCGCCAGCTTTGAGGCATGATAGGTCGCCGAGGTCAAATTTTTCCATGCGAATTGCGCGTCAGTTCGCACCCTCAGGAGGTCCGTGGGTCCCTCAACTAGGTCAGTTTCCCTTTCTTCGACCTTCATTCTAATCGATGGAAATGAAATGCCTTGCCTTCAAGTCAAATCTCCAAGTCCCATGGTATCGAGACATCCGTGAAAAAAGTCATCAGTTGGACATGAGTGATTTGCTAGATGAAAAATAAAGCACGGAAAATACTTCTACATACTTCACTTCTACTTTACTTCACTTTACTCTCATACTACATACTTTTTGAATAATGCTGTGCATATATTTGCGTACCTTTTCAGTATGGAAAGCGAAGTCTGTATAAATATGAGGAAATTCTGCTACTCCGTCGTATTTAGCGTTGGAAATCTGAAAAACATAGAATGGCATCGTACCACTGAGGATCAATTCATTACGTAGGGGAAGAATGGGCTTTACATGATTTCTCGCGACATAATTAATGCGGCCGAAGATTAACACCTCCTTGACAGAGGGCGGTTTGCAGCAAATTTGCTAACTCTAGAGAGTTATTAAGAAATAGCACAATAGGTTGCTATGTAGAATTCGAGTGTGGTGCGAGTAGGGGATTTTCTGATCCCGTCCAGTCCGTAAGAAATTCCCATCAGCGTGAGCGCTCAGATATAATCTATACGGGTGATAAAGAGCTCCGTCGCTGATCAATCTTTTTTGGGATGCGGCACGCATTCTACTTCCATTTTTACATTCGTAGTGGCGTTGTTTGAATGCGATGTGGCCTATACAATGGCTTGCGGGGGCCAGCCGATGTACAAGTCGGCGTTTGTCCTCCCAGACATGTCTGGTACCACCAGACTCCCGAAGAAGGATGGCAAGGCCTAGGTTGGCCGGACGAAGCACGACGCGGGATTTTGATCCCAGAGCCTGCCTGGCGTTGATACACTACACAATTCAACCTCTATACTGCTTGATAAATCATTTAAAGCAACAGTCCAGGCAGGGTGGGCGTGGTTGGAGACGACGGCAATCCCCTCGGCCGATTTCCTTTTTGGAGCTATACAGCCCCAGCCATGAACATAAGAAGTGTTAGTGAACAAAAACACAACTTGGGAAACCGCTAGGAAGGGAGCTAAAGTAAGCTAAGTCGTAATCGGCCGAGGGGATTGCCGTCGTCTCCAACCACGCCCACCCTGGCGTGGACTGTTGCTTTACGTAAACAGTCAAAGCCAGCCTGTTGACCGACCTGTTTACGCGTCGTCTGTAAGTGTGCTTCAGGTTATCCAGATGCGTCTGCGGTTTTTAGGAGAGTTGGATGCATAAAAAGTCGATCATTACCTCTTCTTTTTCAGTTGTTTGTTCCATGGTAATTTATTTATCTTTGGCCCTACTCTATCTTGTCTTCTATCGCTTAAATTTCGACTATTTCCCGATTTTTTTTTCACTTTGAAAAGCTTTGTGAAAACGGTTAGGCGGATAGATACCTCCATTCTTGTTTTTCCTAGATCTGTTGCCATCTGACGGAGTGACGCCACGATATCTAAATTGATAAAATGGATTTCTTGATCAGCACAACTTATTATTTTTATTAATACAGTTGCTTTATGAAAATAAAACAACCACAGTTTCGCTACTATAGAAAACATATGCATTACACTGTCATTCATGCACCATCTATTCAATGTCATTATCGAACAATCTTCAATAGGATTAAGAAACTGGTGGGACATCCACTATTTCTTACACTTACCCTTTTTTCCATACAGAACACTTTTGTCTTTTTCAACCATTACGGAATTCGTGTGATAGAAATCGGCCATTCGATCGAAATCCCCAGCATTGAACGTCCGAACGAAGTCAAGTACGAGCGGCTCAAGAGTGCGACGTACTGCTTCTGAAGCATATTTTTGTAACAGAATGTCTTTACACGGATCACGGATTTTCAGAGTGAGAAAAAAACATGAAAAAAGCAGACTCACGGTCATTTGCCATCTTTAGCTCAGGTGCACGAAAAGTATAGGGCGTTTAATAACAGCTGATGGCTGGCTGCTGAAACAGTTGTTACACAGATTAGAGATCAGTCCGACGCCTGGTGGCCACTGATAGGAGACGACTGTTTCAAGGTGATGCCCATAAAAACGCTTTATTAGAATGAGACTACTGCATGCTTTCATCAAGACTCGAACTATGCTATATTTTCACACGACTCAAAGTAATCTATAGTAGGTATTAATTTCTAATTCTTTATTCTTGACGTCATCGATGTAGAAAAGGATAACGCGGTATTTGAAACCAGTGGGTTAGGAGCACAAGACCATCAAAGACTTTTTGGAAAAAATTGAAAATTTCAGCCACCTGTATAGCCGAGAATTTTAATTACATGTCCATTAATATTTTACACTATTACACTTTTAATGCTGCTCAAGGTAATTTATAACACTTCGTGTACAATCTGTCAAGCTGCAAAAGCTGTTTATAGATACTGGAACGTTTGAATTAGGCTAGGTGCTCTTCTTAGCTCCAAGTTTCATGAAACTGAGAATAGGAAATCATTCAGTTTGGAAGAGGCACAGTTTTTAAGAGTTCTTCGGGGTCGAGAGCGGAATGCATGGCGTGACAGTTTTGGGACGGAAGATTGGTGATTGAACTTCAAACACTGCCGTATTTGATAAGGATTGCCGGTTTTGGCCCTATAGCAAGCGCTCGCGCTCTTATTTAGTAACCATCCTTCGATCGAAATCATCTCTGGTGAGTAGTCACCGCAAAATGTGAACAAGCCTACTATTTTGCTATAAGTTTATAGATACCTAGTCTGATCAACAACGAGTGAGCCACACACGGTAATGGTGGTAAGCGGTCCAAATAATACTCGCATTAGTATTATATTTTCGAATTTTGAACTGAACAGACTGAGTTGCTCAGTAAACCGCAAAGGTCTACCAAAGCAACCAAACAGGGACTGCTAACTAGATTCAGAGTGGTCGGTCGTTGTTTTGGAAAGTCGTACGAAACGAAAAACGAGTCGTACGAAAAGACCTTGAAGTCACGTTGGTGAAAATGTTGAATAGGTGAAAGTTATTGCGCCCATTTAAGGCAAAAGTCGGGCTCAATAAGGGGGTATTATGGCGATTGAAACTGAGTATAGAGATGCGAAGTGGAACGACAGTGGAGAAAAAACTGAGAAAAACCGTCGACAAGGCCGTTAACAAAACCCTCTTTCCCACTAGCAGTGAAGGAGGCTGGCTTGGGAAAGAGGCACGTACAAACAAGTTTTCTGAAGATGTCAGTCGTTCTATCGGTTGATACGGCAATCAACCTAGCTGATTTCACACGTTATGCCAGCCACGCACCACATCCCAAGGTGGGCGGTCGTAGCGGGGCCAGGCGGCGATAGCGCATAGTACATGCCCTGGGGCCTTATTACCGCGCCGTTCGAGATTTTGAGCGTGGGAACATCTGTACGGGTGCGTAACCAAGTACAGAGATGACCGAAAGGGTTGGTTTGGTCAACTAATCCCGACCTTTGTCTTTAACGAGAGTAGTTGTGATGGTTGGTCCATCAGGGATGAACAAGGGAAAGATAAACTAAGAGTTCCCCAAATCATAGCGCGCTAGGCTCATTTGCTTTCCACCCTGCGGTAATATCATTAGTTAGCCCCACCTCCTCACAGTACTTTACCATATCGGAGGCACAACCAACCAGTGAGAGCCCCCAGGAATGTGGTGCTTACCCCTCTCCTAAAATCAACGCGTTATGTGATGGGTCGTGGCTGTCTTTTTCGTTAAGATTTGCCTTCATGAACTGTATGCCATTCGAGAAGAGCGCTTCGAATATGGTTCAAGCCTCCAGTCGCAAAATTAGATTTTCTTCCTGTTGTAACCCCCTACAAAAGAAGATACAGGAAAAACCTGGACGTTACAGGTCATGTTTTGACATCTTAGAATTCACAATGTCTCCTCACAACGGAGGGCAAATCTAGCTTTGCTATCTCTTGAAGTATACTTTATGTAAGATTCAGGCCAGAAACACCGAACATCGGTGCGCCTTGCGATTTTTATATGTGCACATTAGATACACGCTCAAATAGCTCAACGGTTTTGAGTAAGGGCATATGCACTGTGCTCCCAAAAGGGTTGATCGGTGCTTACCTCTTTGCACATGTTTTTCGTGTTCAACACGTTGACGACAGCGTGACGCGGTAACGCGTCCCACTTTGCGCACCTCGTGGGACATTGTGACGCGGTAACGCGTCCCACCCAAGTCTTCCCTTTTTCTTGCGCTTGTGCGACTTATTCCTAAGGTCTTTGTACTCATTCTATAGGTCATACATTAGCATACTTAAAAACCACATGGCTCACAGAAAGGTCAAATATTCTTAGTTTGGCAGACATTTTCCAGACCTTATGGATATGTCTGTTCGATTCATTCCTCGTTTTCTTTTCAATAACGTAGACATGTTGATAAAAAGGAATAACAGAGGTGAAAACAAACCTTTTAGTATGGGAAGATATTTACTGAAACAACCACGTCCAAATTAATTTTGGAACCTAAAGGGAAATTAAGTAAAATTTCCCTTTTCATGGCCTTAACACGTCATTTCGGTCAAACTTCCATTACTGTAACTCCTGATAAGCTAGACAGATCGAACATCATTGAAAACATTTCATCGCATCTAAGTATTGCGGATTTACACTTAAAGCAACAATCCAGGAACGAATTCGCGGGTAAGGACCACCTATAATGACGTTGCAGGTGAGAAGTTGGTCAATGGAGAAAGAAAAAGTAGAAAAAAACGTCGGGCAGGGGCTTAGACAGGGACTCCCCCTGCCGTTTAGGGAGACGTGTGTTGGACGAGTTGTCCGAACCTGCCCGTAGTACATGCGCTCCAATTGCAACTGCTGGCAAATAGCCATGCATGCTTGCAAATACATAACTATTTGCCAGCAATCGAAATTGAAGCGCTTCAATTGCGTTCTTATGGAATCGACCTCATACAGCGCGGCGGTCCCGCAACGACCGCTAGTCGAGCAAGCGCTCTGCACAGCTGCTTGGAGGCGGCCCCACCACGGATCGGTGGATCCGCCCCTCTTGAAGGATTTCGACTGCTTCCAACGCCTTTCAGAGGTAAGTTTTGAAGTTTGTGACATTTCCCATGAACTCCAATCAGGCTGAGGCATGTTTCCACCACTTGAAAACCAAATGGTTGAAACCCTGCCTGGACTGTTGCTTTAACATCAATGGGTTTGGTGTGCGGCAGCTGCGCTCGCGAAATCGCTGGTGCAAAAGCACAAAACGCGCGATGTCGTCAACGTGTTAATACCACATATCTACACTGATTACTTTATTGCAAAACACGGCACAATACCGCAATGTTACAAAATTCATAATCTATTCAACGAAAGACGTTCTCAAAGTGGAAAGAATCAGAACAGTGGATTAAAAATTCAAAAATTAATATTACAATTATAACAAAGAAAGGTTATACGACACATAAGGAGCTTGCCCTAAAAATTCGAAATCACACCTAATATCGGATCCGCTTTTTCCTCTTCTGTATAGTGGAGCGATTCCGTCGCTGCCCTCCTAGGCTTGGAAGAAATATACCTGTGATTTTCACAAAGCCGTCCCATTTTTCCGAATAAAACTTTATTTCGAATATAGCCTTTCATCCACTCAACTAATTCTCAGGAGGAATTTCGAGAGCATGGCGTATTCCAAGGTTATTTCAAAACCTCAGTGCGACTTCTCTCTGAGCTCAAAAGGTTTATGGGTAATTCAGCAATATTTTCTACATCCTGAAAACCAAGCTCTAAAATGAGTTTCAACAGAAAAACAAAAAAAAAACAGGAGTTCGTGGAAATCTTGAAACTTTTAGGCAAGTACCGTAGCTATATAAATAATTTCACTTGTTGCTTGAGATGATGATAAAACAATCAATAACTTCCTAAACACTGTAATTATAGTTCATGTGGCTGCGATGCGGATCCAAAGGATTGTTACAATTGGAAAACGAGCGCTCTCTCAAGTCGGAATGGTAGAAATGTGGTCGAGAAGGTCTTTCGTCCGAGTCTCTGAAAAAAGATCAAGAGTGTCTAGTTCACCTATTTTCGCATGAATGCAATTATGCAGGAAGAAAATGACCAGAATGAGCTATGTGCTTAGCGGCGCGAACAAATAATATACAATACTTCAGGCACTTTAATGTATTGCGCTATTTTGACCCTTAAAAAATATATTAAATAAAAATGGCGAAGCTGGTCGTAACAAATTGCATTAAAGGCACACTCCCTCTAAGCGCGCTCGCCTGCCGTTCATCCGGGGCCTATCAACCGAGGCGACAAGCCTTTGATGTCGCACCCCTTTTGCCGCTTGAAAGTACGCGACAAAGGCGCAAGGAGCTCGTCCAACCCGCAACTCACACCTTCGTCCGCAAGCCCCACCCTCCGCTGTCGGTTGCCACGTGGCGCTGCTTGAAAAGCGCGGGCGCATTTGAGGCAGCGGTCCCAGCGCGATCCAATGTTATTGACACTGGAGCAACTAGAGTTAGGTTCGTGAAACTCGTCCAACGCGCCCCTTCTCTATCCCAAAGTGGAATCGCTGAAATAGGGGAAGGTCTCTGAGTGGCGCGATCGGTTGCTTTCGTTTGCTTCTTCCATTCCAGATCACCTCGCACTTCTCCTCATAATTGAATGGTTTCCCACACCTATTTTACCCCGAATCATGCCTTTAATTGCGCGGCGCACGGTCCGAGAGTGCATCTCGCAATCCGTAAGGACCGAAAGTGAATTGCGAATCGTCTCCATTCCGAAAAGTTCCACATTTCGGTGCAAATGACGCTCGCGTCGATATCACTAAAAGGAAGTCTCTTGTGCAGTGTACTTTCCTACACCTTAGAAGCCGCCGTAAAAAAGCGAGCGGTGTACCCTAGAAAAAGGAATTAGCAACGTCGAATGCTTTACGTTTGATATTGTTATTGTTTGATATTGAAAGCAAAATAAAACGCATGGCGAATTTTTAATCTTACATGTTTCTTAAACTCGGATATGAATTGTATATAGACTCGTTAAGTTGCTGTAGCTCTTCCATGGCAGTGTTCGCCCTAAACAAATTGGATTTAGTTCCAATTATTTATTTCCAAATTTCTTAGTCTATGGAAAAAAAAAACGCAGAATAGCATGGGAATATGATGACTTAATTTTCGTAGAGATTTTTGTCAATAGTTTCACCTTGTTCTTATCTGCCCTGTTTCTTCGCTTATACACTCCATCAGAATCTGAACGATCTTCTCGAATAGAACTTGAGCGTGCCGAATCCGTTCCTCTGGACTAGCGTCCTCATCTTGTGAAGTAGATTCAATCTAAAGTATTGCACTTGATTGGAAGCATCACAGCTTCACGAATATGAGGATCTGAACCATCTATGATATGAAGTTCTTACCAGTTCTCTTATCTTGGCACGAAACTCGGATTTGCTCTCCTTCTGAAAGTAGGTTACTTTTAAGTCCAATACAAACATGTACACAGTGGTCTTGAACTTCTTGGATGCGCCCAAGTTAATGGCCTCCAAAATAAAGAGTAAAAGACTTGATAAATTCCACCTGACCGAAGATTCGTCGAGGTCATGAGGCATATTCTATTCTTTAACGGACGCCCATCAAACCGAATCCAAAGGTAATAGAAGACCGTTTTTAAAATGCCCTTCCGGGCTTATTACGGAGTATCACAGATTAATTTCGCTGATGCCACAGAAACTATGCCAAGACACGCACAAAAAGTAGCAAAAATATAAGCCTTGAATAAACAATGAAAAACCAATCAAGACGGGAATGAATTATCGCATCTTACAGGGACCAGTTTACGGATTTCCTCCAAATCAGACTGATCATGGGCATGTCGTCGCATCTGCTTCAGTGTTCCCCATGGTCGGCCTGCAAATACGAACTTTAAACTGCTACTAAAATATCTTTTAGTATGCGATGTACGAGTATGCAATCGATAATAATGATATAAAAGAGGCATGAGGAATGCATTAACGTTCTCGCGATGATTCTACGGAGCAGGCAGAAGGCAAGGGTATAGTGGAGATGGTTCGAACGCGATGTCAACCAGGAAGCAGTTATTCTGCGTGTATTGGCATGTAAACTTCCGCCCATTGCAGTTCATTGGCTAAGCTATCTACATTAATTCAGGTGCTTTCAGCTGTTACAAGTGCATCATATTTAGTATTGAAACAAACATGAGAGACAAAAGCACAAAGCAACAATCGAATGTGTTTACAAGCAACTAATTACGCAGTACAAGGATAGCATGTTTTGTTAATCAGCTCCAGAAAACGTTTAGTCAGCAAGTACCAGAGGGAGTTTGAGCCAGCGATAGATAAGTTTTTAAATTTGAGATCATTGCGTCAGCCCTAAAAGTGATGCTCACCGCTCGCAAGTTATTTTCAGGTCGTGCCAACAAAATCATCATGGAACCTTCCCTAATTCTCTAATATATGTCAGCTTGAAGACATTGGAGCCGTAACCACACATGCCTGTACCAGTTTATGAACCATACAGATATCAAAAACTCTGCGCCTCAATTCTAAAGATGTCAGTCCCAGATACTGATTCCTAATGGCTGCTTTCGGTATTTTGGAGTACAAAAACCACCGATTCGAATAAGCAGTTTACGAGTAAAGTTATTCTGAACCTTCTCAAGCGCGTAGACATGCTTCCTTTCGTGGCTATTGAAACCGTAGTGCTGGATTCAACCAGGGTCGCACATGCGACTTGTAAGCACGCAGAAGAGCTCCTTTATTAGCTAAGGACAGCCCTTGAAAATTCGAAAAGTTCCGTAATTTGGCCATGCTGACCCTCGTTTTGATGTGTTCGGTGAAGTCCAACTGGTGAAAATGTAGTTTGGGGGGGCCACCCTATCTAATCGAAGTGGAGTAGCGGAAGACACTCATATCTAATCAAAGTAGAGTTGCGGGAAGGCACTCATATCTTATCATATCTTTCACTGAGTAAGCGGCAAACGACCAGTTCGTCACACTTGTTACCCTTGTCCTATGGCGAAAACGGCTGTCACCTTGCTGGCTCTTCACTTTCACCAACCCTTCTTGCGATTGCCATGCAAGCCCTTGGCGAAAGGGCCTTTCAGGTATCCGATTTTGTATGGAATCCCGGGTTGGTATCCCTATCTAATCGTACACTCAGAGCCTGTGCTCTGATGTTGATTAGATATGACCGCCCTTCCGCAACTCCACTTCGATTAGATATTGCCACTTTGATTAGATATTATGAGTGGCCCCCCGAACTACATTTTCACCGTCCAACTTGTTGCTGTAGCGAAAATCGAGGCCTCTGACAGATGCTATAGCAGCGAGAGGGACACGATCAACAGTGCACGATCGCGTTGGTGATTTTTGTGAGACTTCCTCATGTGTACGAAAACCCATGACCTTTTTGGAAAAAAAAGGTAAAACACACACGAGAAATAGCAATTCCAGGTTTCCCTACACAACGCTCAAGCGTGTACGGACTCAAATACCATTACCGTACAAATACCATTAGGTACCGTACTCGCTCAGCATATTTCAGACGTGCCGCCTCGCCAGTTGTTACCAACGCGAGGCGGAGCTCGGGCACCACACTTTTGAGCAGCATCAAATGAGCAAGAGCAAAATGAGCAATATAAGCAAAAATCTTTGACAATACTGCTTACCTTCAATTGCTCGGAACACCCTGTTTAGCCAGTTGGGTATGAACGAGAATGGATTCTTTTTCACGATGAGGTTTGAGCAGCAAGTACAGAAAATGCACACAAAGAACGAGAACACCCGCAGTACGAATGGAATAATGTGCAGGAAATAATAGATTCAATGACAGAGGTGGTGGAAGCCAAAGCTTCGACTCGTATCTAAAAAAGTTTGAGCTATAAAACCATTTTCTTACTTTTTAGCTAAGTAGGCAGATATTTGATCTAAAGGACTGCTTTGATTCTCGCGGCCGAATCTGTGAATATAGACTCAGTGCCACGCCATTATGGCCTAAAAGTTCTTTACGCGGTGTGTTTCTCGATGCTTTTTTGCAAGTTGACTGCCACTTGTGAAGCTGAGTCCGCAATCACATCAGGCTCATAGGAGTCAACAAAATGCATTTTTTCATAGGAGGATAAACACATACGTGGCAAGAAGAAAGTAGTTTTCATATTTCCAATACACCGCGGAACCTCCTCCTGACACTTCCTCGTATTCCTTCCTGCAAACTGTCATACATTTACTGCAAGTGGATTGGCTACAGTTACATAGCAGAGTAAAAAAAAACTCTATAATGAAAGAAAAGCATTACGATCCATCTACAGATTTCCCCACAGTTCCAGTTCACCATGGTTTTCAATGGGTGCTAATAACTACTAAGGTTAGTGCAACAT